TGCCACCAAAACTATGAGACTCAGGGTGCTTCAGACCAGGTAAGTTAATTATTCATACCTTTATCGTCTGTATCAGACAGTCCAGGCTCTGGCATGCTATGGCGTAACCTGTTCCTCTGGCTTCTGATGATCACATTGGAATTACTATTGGCAAGAGGTCCTAGGAGGTGAATAAAAAATTTATTAAATATTAAGTCTTTCGAGTATTGATTACCTTCTTTAAAAAGAAAACTTGAACATTTATGTAATATCCACTCATAAAAAGATTTTTTAAAACAAAACTAAGGGCAAAAGAGAAAAATAATAAAAAAGAATGAAATGATTTTTGTACCAAAATGCACAGCTCTTCACCATGCACTAGTTTCATACCAAGGTTAAAAATAAAATCTCATATACTGTTGAAGTGACAAAAAAAAGAAAAAAAAAAAAAAAAATTCAAGCCATCTGTTCATGCACAGTAACTCAGGATTAAGTAAAGTGCCATGTCTACTAGTAAATGAATCAATAATCAGGGACCCCACAGAACTTATGAAGAATACTGTAATTAACAGGGTTTGTCACACCTGGCTGACCTGGAATCCATTAACTACTGAGTACCTACTCAGAAGCTGTTATCACCTAGAGCTCTAAATCTGCCTATTACATAGTTGACAGTAACAACTGAATAATAGAAATTGAACACTCTGTCTCACTCACACACACACACAAACACATTCACACACACACACAACATTTTATTCTTATTTCATTCCACAGTTGAAAGCAGTTTCAATTAGATTACATATTTTTCGTATCCTTCATCAATGACAGTGTCAAAGGTATTCCTCATATCATGTGTCAAGCTTCAACAAACTGATCAATTAATTATCCCAGTGCTCTTTGATCAGTGGAGCAGGGATGCTGGAGAAGCAGAACCAAGGGGGTATTCAAAGCCACTGATTATAAATCAATTTTTTCCACACTTCAAGAGGGTAATCAAGCCTTGGAAATAAATTAATTGGCTGTTATTGACCCATACAAGCTGAATATTTCATGTCTAGATATACTGTGTGACTGGAAGATTTTGAGCACTGATGCATTTCGGAAGGGGTGAAATCACATCTTCTGGAAATAATTTTATATATTCTAAAAGCTAACAAGATGGATTTGTGGGCCAAGTTGTTAAAAGGCCAACTTCTCTGTTTTATTCCACATGTAATTGTATACGCACCATTGTGTGCTCTGCAAACAGGTGTCTGACTGCATATTATCATTAATTCTACACTTAAGGGAAAAGTAAGCTGATAAATATTGGAGAGGACAAACACAGCAACTCTTCAGTAACAATTAAACCTCTGTGAAAAAGTACACCTGGATCTCTTCCACAGTTAAAATCCATAAAATACATCTTACCGAGTTTTTTAAAGTCACGCAAAATTTTCTATGATATGTTTGCCTATCACTGTTGCTGAAGGATCAAATTTCCTGTAAATGGGTGACCTAGGTTGATCCCTGTCAGATGTCACAAATAAAGCCAGACTAGCTCCAATAGCAACAAAGTTAAAAATAACTTCCAAACATATTTTTAAATCACTGTTGCTAAGAGACCATCTGTTTGTTTTAAGGTTAAGGACAGGCCAAAATAAAATAAACAAAACGAAAGGGAATTTGCTTTTTATATCAACCTTCAGCTATGACATATCAAGAATTCAAAATGATAAAAAAGGGTTCTCTTAATATTCCTGTTGCATTCATATAATGCATCTTCAAAACATCTCATTGTGCTCAAAGCACAGCTCCAAGTTCATTGTGTGACATAATATTGGGTTTTTTTGGGGCAAAAACATCATTTTCAGTTTCCTGATTTTCTCAGGCACCTGGGCAGCTTTAAACATGCTTTTAATGGTATTATAACACTTGAACAAAGTACTACAAAAGGGGTTCAGCAAATTTTCTTAAAGACTTACTGTTGATTTTATCTATAAAAATGTGATTTTTTTAGCCCTATTTGTATACACTCCCCCCCTTTTAAAACTACTCACCATTCATCAGTCTGTTAAGACCTGTACCGGAAGATGAGGTGGTTATTTTATTAGACCTGGTCAGCCCTGTAGTGGACATTGTGGGCCCACCACTGGACAGTACTGGCATGGTGAATTCCCTCATGTCTTTGTTATTAATTTGTTCTGTGGGAGAGGCTGAGACTGGAGAAGGTGTCACGCATGTGGAAGAGTCACTGGTCTCCTGATATAAAATTAATTAAAATAAAATTAAGAAAAATTAACAAAATACTTTGACACGATGAAAACTGATGAAAGGGAAGGAAACACAATCGCCAGTATACTGTACAAAGTCTATTTTGATTGCTGAAATAAACAGGTTCTTAATACGACAAAGTATATTCGCTGAGGCAAAGAGAGTGAAAAAAAAAAAGAAATTAAACAGGTTTTTGAAAATAGAAATAGTTTATAACCCTTTTCATTAAGAAAAAATTAATTAATAGAAACTTCTTTGCACCTTACTAAAAACAACAACTTTTTGGCACAAGTAGCAGAAAAAGCACCTATTGTGTCTACTAGTAACTTACCCCTCTATCTTTTTCTTTAAGTTTCTTATTTTTTGGCACAGGGCTAGTTCTCCCAAGTGGGATGTTTTCACGAACATGTGAAGCTGCTTGTTCAAGCTATAAAAAAAGGGATCACTAGCATGTTATAAATTCAATTTATGAAGGGTAATAGCTCATCAAACATATATACTTTGAAAATTTAAAAATTAAAGATAAATACAAAAAAAAAAAAAAAGAAAAGAATCTTAAATTACAACCAAAATTCGTGCAAACTGAACTAATTCAAAACAATATATTTAAAATCACCATGACCCTAAGTAGACCTACACTTACTAGTAAATAGGGAATGTACACTGAATTAAAATTTCCCACTGACAGTTTAAGAAAAAAAAAATGTAATTGATGCATAAAAATTGAAGTAATTTTTTAACATTAAAGTAATCTAATTTTTAACAAATGAATCATAAAATCATCAACAGATAACACTATCCATTTGGTCAGATGTGCCATTACATATGTCATAAAATATAATGTTGCATGTACAGTATTCTTTTTACTCTCTCTCTCTCTTTTAATTTTTGTGATCCAGGACCTTGGGCCAAACCTATGAAAACCATATAGATCAAATGTCAAGGAGAATTTCATTGTGAATGAAACATAAAACTTGGAGTCAGTATACAAACACCATTCACTGTGCAACCAAACAGACCATACAAAGCCTTATCACATTGACTAACCTTAAACCTCCAGTCCTGTTGGCATTAAAAGAGAGCCAATTTGTAAAGCCATATTGAATCAGTTAAGCTTACAATAGTTTAGAGCACAATGCAAACAATGGACCCACTTCACAGGTAGCCAATTCAGTACACTACACTGTACTTGTTACAGACCTACATCTATCCCCACCCAACAATAAATTTATACATACCATTTTAAAAAATAAGGTCACTGATTTTTTTTACTTTTTTTTAATACACATTTGGTTATGAATTGTTTAATGAACACAATTATACTCCAGTGTTTTTATTCATCACATCTAACTTTTTATTTCATTCCAGTTTGTGTCAAGATAATCTGATTCTTTTTTCATCACACAATGATAAACAGTATGTATTTATTTCATGTTTTAAATCATACAGCTCTGACCAATTTTAAAACATTATGCCTACAGCAAAACCACATGTAAAGGATTAATTTTTATACAAATCTCAAAAGATTATACTTACAAGTCTTTTTTGTTTATCAAGATGTTGTTGCTGTCTTGACATAAAATCCGTACCAAGATTTTCTACGATCTTCACGCTGGTGCTGCTCACTTTAGGTTGAAATGTAAATGTAGCTTCTTCTTGTAATCTTGCTGCTACTGCTGCCGCTTTTTTCATCAAATCAACACGAAGCTGTTGGCCTCTTTCCTTAGTGATCTTTAAACTCGTCTCGTTTAATTTTGGTTGAAAAGTCAATTCAGAACCCGTGTTGTGCGTGATTGGTACTTTAACTACTGCTGTCATAGTCTTCTTTGCATCCGAGGTAGAGAGTCTTTCTTCGATTCTACGGTGTACGGTGAGTAAAAATTGCGGCGTGGCAGCTAAACTATTTTCTTGGTACTGATTGTAGTAACCGTCGCGCCTATTTAGAGCTAATTTTCTACTTGTTTCGCTTATTTTAGGACAGAATGTTAACTCTGGGTCGTCGTATGCCTTCTTCCGTCCCATCGGTGCATGGCGGTGGTGGACATACCTTCCATTTTCAACCCAGGACCATGCAATCACGATCTTTCTCTACCCTAGGCACGCTTTGTCGTCTCCATGGAGGCGCCATATTGTTTGGAACCAATAGCTTTAATCTCAAACCTTATCAACACTAAATGCCTTTTAAAATACTCAATTTATATTAAGTATCTGGTATTTTAATAAATACCCTAACTTTTTTGTATTTTTCTGAGAATAAATGCACATTTCACCTAATTTTTTTATATTCTAGGCATTAAAAGAAATATTTGAAAATATCTAAAATTATATTCCTCGAGTTCGAGAGTAAACGATATTTTCCGAGAGTTCACGAAATTGACCTATTTAGTGGGGGGTCCTCTTCCTTGTTAGTTGTGCGGCTCTTGACAGGTTAGTTACTCTTTAAAATCATGTAACACTACGGTTTTTAAAGATTTTATAAAATATATTTCCACATATTTTGCTCTTTTGATAGTGTAAGGCTTGCGCAAATATCTTTAAAATGACATGTTATGGTTTATACTAAACTAAAAACGCGTTAATGACAAGCTGAAAAATAATTGCACAGTCACCAAGGGCGCAGTAACCAATATTTACCCGAGTTCCATAGAATATTGGATACCGACTTCTGTTATCAGTTTTTTCCCCACTGTTTTTAGTTACCAGTCGCTCATGGGCATTCTGATGATATGACATGGGCAATGTTACATCTAATCTTGTTCCAATTTATCAAAATTAATCAAGCGCCATGTTATGTTATGAAATGAATTACTCTGTTTAAAAATAGCCTATTGGGCTATATACCCACTCATTTCTAGTGAAAAGTCGGATAAATATATGTTATTGAAATGCATCAATTTTTTTTTACATGCCATCATTCATTGTCCTTAATTTTTGACCGAGTAAAGTGGATTAATTTTGGCAAAGTTACAAAATCTCCTGTATGCTATTAAATGTGTACATAACATTATCATTGATGTTACACACACCTTGTGATTGAACTATTTCTTATCTTGTTTGCACAATGATTGAACCATGTGGATTGAATGGGGTGGTGATTGAGCCGTGCCATACAGTGATTGGAATTTATACAGTAGTCAATGAATAGATTTTTTTAAAAATTTTAATAGTTAATATTCTAATTTTAATTGGCAAAATGACTGAAGTCTAGGGAGGAAGAATTTTCATTATTTATTTTTTGACCAATCTTAGTGTAAATTAATGTTGATTACAATAATGCTGAAATTATATTATGAACTCTTGGAACTTACTAGTACTAGTTTCGAACTTTCAGAATATGAATTAAGTACACTGTACATGTAAACTACATGTACCGGTACATAAAATTAGCCTGGAAAGGGTTTGAACCATTTCTTTCTTGTTTAACTTTATAAATGTGTTTTTCAGGATGTCCATCCGCCAAGAGCTGAGGTGTGCCAATTTTGGCTTAAATTATTTCAGGGAGGATGTGTTCTACTTACCACAGGTAAGGAAAACTGATACTGTCTAGATCTGAAAAAATACCTACAGATGGTTAGGCTAACTCAGACATTAAAATTCAGTCAAATGTTGAACCATGTACTGATTTGACTTAAGAAGAAATTATTATTATTATTATTATTATTATTATTATTATTTATTATTTATTTATTTTTTTTTTATTTTAACTTTTGCAATATTAACCCTTGATTTGGTTCAACAGTTTGATTTGGTTGAAATTGTGCATAGTTTTGTAAAAAAGAACTTTAACCTAGAAGGACCTCTAGAAGTCTAGAAGTTTCATATTAGCTTATACAGGCATAGATTAGAAAATGTTAAAAGAAATATTAAAAGGAACCAATACCGTTTAAGGGGCGAATTGGCAGAGATACATATTTGCTAGTTTGCATTCGTATTAAATGAATAGCATAAAACCACATTGTCCATTTTGAGTTGAGAAAAAATATTATATGTTGGCAGGATCTTTAGTGTTTCAGAAGTCTGCTTTTCATGTTTATTTATTATTATTATTATTTATATTTTTGTGATTGATGGGGTTGCATGCTGTGTTTTTTAAACTGCAAATATCTTTATATTTGTTAATCCCATCTGCTACCTGGGTTTATGGTGAATGGGTGAATTTTCATGTAAATGTGAAAAAAGAAAACTTTGTAACTTTTTAACCAGTTATTTGTGTTATCATCCCTTTGTTGTGCATCACCCAGCCGGTGGTTCAAACCCAGGAGGGAGTTGCACCTCTCTGGCCCTCTACTGGTAGTTTTTTCAAATTCTATCAGTAGGGCATTGTAGTCACATGCAAAATTGAAAACAAATGTTTTAAACCATGAATTAAAACAATTGCTTGCTTTTGAACTTGGGCTGGACGATGCGTTCTGTTCTTTTCCAGTGGAACTGGCCTCCCATGGTCTTCATAATCTATAGAGTGGTGATGGCTCTTTATTGCATGGTCTGGGTCATATATGCTGCATCCATTTCTCCTACAGCTAACCTAAAAGAGCCGTGGTGGGCCTGGTTGACTAACTGGTCGTATATTGTATTAACATGCCACATGGTTCTTGCTGCGGCCATCTCCCTGTGGCATACACCTAAACGTTGCAGCAGGAATAACATTGGGATTGAAGCAGGTGGGGGTAATTCAAAGGACACGGCCCAGCAGGACCATACTTACTACACCAATCCTGCTGTTAGCACAGATGCCGCCATAGATACCACGACAGATACCACCACAAGTGCCTCCCTTGGTCATGGCGCCTCCAGCGGTACCAACCTGGTGGACACGGAAAATGGGGCCAAAGAGACGTCAGCGTCGATTCGCTGGTACATGAAACTGGATTGGTTGCTGTGGACTGTTGCGAGTGTTTGCGCCATTATCGTCAGCTTGGTGATCATGGTGTTCGCCTACCCAGTCCTGAAGGGTATTCCGACACCGGTGGACTTCCAAGTTCATGTGGCCAACACCATACTCGTTCTGATCGATACCGTTGTTGCAGGATATCCAGTGCGCATACTGCACGTTGTCTACGTGCACGCGTATGGGTGCGTGTACGTGGTGTTCAGTGTGATATACTGGGCTGTTGATCACACTAATGTGATGTATCCTGTGTTATTGGATTGGAATGGTCCAGGGTATACCTTCATATCTCTAGGGGTTGTGTTTCTTATTGTTATGCCTTTGTTGCAGTTGATATATTACGGCATTTTCAGATTGAAATTGTATTGTTTGAAAAGATCACCTGCTCCAAGTGGTGAACTTCCACTTTAAGAAGAAGAATTTTGATGTGTCCAAATTTAAAAATAGAAACTGGAGTTGACATCTCAGCCATACTGGAAGTTATCACACTGAGTAAGATCGTGGTATATATAATACCAATATTTATATTTTGGACATATCTCTATATGCAGTATATCAGGGTCGTCACAAGACAATTTAATTTTTTTTTTTTTTTTTTTTTTTGAGTTTGAAAAGTTAAGTATTAATAATTCATGGGAACAAATATAGCTAGTAAACATTGAATACTAGGGTAAGTTTCTATTCATGAAGTATTTAATTCTAATTTATTAGTTTTTTATTATATTATGTTATTTAGATTTTGAGAACAGAACAAAGAATTGTTTAAATATTTATTTGATGCAAAAAGGATCAAAATTTGAAAGTTTTTTTTTATTACTGTTTTTACTTAAATCCACATGTTAAGAGTAATTTAACATTATAGCTATTGTTAAATGTAATTTGTCTTTGGACCATTTTTGGAAATAATTTTGAACTTTTTGTGTTCTATGTGAAAGTGCTTCAATTGGTGATCATGAGCAGGTGTAGAAAACGTGGTATTGTCATCAAAACGAAAAACAGATGATCAAATTTATCTCTGAATTTACTTTTCAAATTTTCCTCACCAGATACAATTGAATAATTTTTTCGAAAAAAATTTACTTTTCACATTTTCTCTACCAAAGTAGAGATCTTTACAACTGTAGTTCTCATGAAATATTATTATATAAAAATATAATTGATGTTATTGCAGAAAAAAAGCAAATCAAAGTGCCATGCAGTGTGTCATAGGATTGAAACGCTTATAATTATAGTAGAGGGGGTAAAGAAAGATGTAACAGAGGGAGCTCCCCTTGGTCTCACCTCTATCTGATGCAACTTATATGCAATATGTGTAATCCAAGAAACATTTATTAATTAACCATGAACAACTTCTTCTTTTCTTTTAATTTTTTTAGGTTTATATACAAGTTAATTGAAGTTTTTTCTGAATATTTTAATATTTTTCTTGTGCAAAATAATGTTTTACATTCTTATGTACATTTAGTGATCAAATAACACTTGTAGTGCCAAATGTTAACATTTCATGTGTGATTTATAAAGATTAAAGATATATTTTACCTTGCTTTTTAATTTTATTGCCACAGCTATGCCATTTTTACATGCATGTGTATTTCACACTGAGTAGTATACTTTTTTACTCTGCTGTGAAAGTGTAGCGAACAAATACGAAAAAATGGTTAACATTTGTTTTTCCTTTCTTGTTTTTTTTTTGCTTCAAAAGTTCTTATACAAAGTGTGATATTTTATACTGTTGTAAAAATTTAATTAACAAATTCCACAAGGGCCTTATCACTTTATATATTATAGTATATATTTATAGTTAAAATATCATATACTAGTAGTTTTTACACTACCATAAAAGATTATTAGACTAATACCTTTTTATATTTATTTGTTAAACTTGTGAAAATTAATCAGTCAAGTGCCATATTAATGTTCTAGAAGTTTTGTATGTATAGTTAAGAAACTGTCAAATATTGTTTACTACACTGCCGTGATAAATGAACAAATAACATACTTGTTAATGCCTTATAATATAGAGTTCAGAAAATGTGTTTTTAAACTGCTGTAGAAGTTGAACAAATTCCACATGAATGCATTTTTTTTATTTTTATATAAGTGAAATGTATAAATGACTAATACTATTTAGGTAATACAGCATGGCTTTGCATGTTCTTTGGTATGAATCTGAATTGTTTGTTTCAAAATTGGTATATTGAAATATTACAGCAATATTAAGACAGGGTCTTCCATACAAATCTGTATGCTTTATAATGAACAAAGACAAGAGTATCAGTTATGTATCCACGCCTTTGCCACAGTGTGACAAACCTTTATAGACCAGGAAAGTAATAATTGTGAAATCTTGATTTAATTTTATGTTGCACTAAGTTGCATAAAGTATTATAAATCTGCAATAGTGAAGGGAGTATTTTGATATAGACATTTGTATTTTAAAGATGGATCAGTTAATCATTAGTTGTTATACAGGATTTTTGAAAAATTAATTTTTGTATATTTTCTATTATTCATATTAATTTGTCTGAAAGTATTCTGTTCTTGTTATAGAACATGTCAGTTTTCAATGCTTTTTAATGCTTAATCCCTCAAACGCGAGAAAATGAGTTTGTTAAATAAAAATGCTCTAATTGCATATGCTGTGTATGTTGTATGTACTGTACCACATGAGACAAAATCGGGGGGTGGGGGTACAGTTAAGAAGAGGAGAAAGTCGAGTTATTTTACCTGCTAATTACAACAACCAATCAAAAATGAGCAAAAGCAATTTTTCAACCTGGCTACAAGATATCGTACGTGGATAAGTCTGGCATAGCTGTTCGTGTTCACATTTCGGTCAATCGTTGAAGCCAGCTCATCAAATCGCAATGGTTTTTCATCTACATATTCAGGTTCATTTTTTATTGCAATTTTTCTTCTCCAAGCGATTTCCTATTCTGGATTTCACTAGGTTGCAAACAACCGGACATACCAAACAAGATTATACAACACGCTTCATTTTTTTCTTCGTTTCAGTGGAGATGGCCACCTTTATTGTACGTCCTTTATCGCATGGCGGTGGCGATTTACGTGATCTACTGGCAAATGTACACGGCGGCCCACCAACCCTTGGTTCACCTCCCTTACCCATTCCCAACATGGCTGACGAACTGGTCCTACTTCCTGCTTTCCTGCCACGTGCTCCTGGCGGCTTTGATTTGCGTGATTCACAACATTGAAAACTACCGGCAGTGTTGTTCGAGGCAGCGGCGAGTCCCGGTGACACGGCAAGAAGAAGAGGCACTGCTTTCAGGTGAGGAATCCGTGGCTTCTGGGGACGAGGGCGGTAGCAAGGGACGACTCGGTTGGCGCGAACCAAGACGAGAGTCTGAATCGTCAGGATATAGCTCCGTAACTGGGATACGGGCCATTTTAATTCCATGGTACATGAAGCTGCATTGGTTGATTTTCACAGCTATAAGCAATTTCGCCATCATTGTAAGCGTGGTGTACTTTAGCTTTCTGTATCCACAGTTGGCAAAAGAGAACAATTTATCGTTTCCTCAGATGGAAGATTTTCAACTTCACGGGGTCAATTCCATTGTGATAATTCTCGACTTAATTATTGCGGCCTACCCCGTTCGACTGGTGCATTTCGTCTATGCTGAAATCTACGGACTTCTCTATGTGATATTCAGCGCCATCTATTGGGCCTTTGACCACAGCCGGGTGCTATACCCTGGGGTACTGGACTGGAATAAACCAGAGTCCACTATGATCATGATATTGGTATTAGGATTGGTTGTTGTACCGTTGTTGCACACGATCTTCTACGGCATCCACAGGTTGAAGCTGAAAATTTCCCAGCAAGCCGCAATGCCGCCCAGTGACCCCGAAGTGATATTCTAAGCCACCCCATAAAATGGAAATAGATTTTTTCCCCGCGGGGAACAAAGATTTTATTGAATACGATGAGCAATATCCAATGACATGTAGCCTACCTGTGAACAAACAAATGATTGTCACATTTCTATGTTATTCAAGTATCTGCACGGCGATACTCGACATTATGTGAAAACGTGTTATATGATACTATTCCTTCAACTTACATACGTCTTACAGCGGATAAGGCTATGTTTTAGTAAATGGGCACATCCATACACACGCGCACGCACCAGAAAAAAAAAAGGAGAGGGAAATTTTGCAAAGGTAGACTTGTTGCGTCGAGAAAGTGTCATGTTTGTAACTATGCATAATGTTTGGTGCAATACTCGTTAAATCCCACCATGTAATATGAAACCGTCTCTGCAAGTTTTCGTTGAATGAACTAGTATAACTCGTAACAAATCTTTTTTCCTTAGTAATGTGACAAAGTATTGAACTTATATCAGCAAGAACTGTTATTGTTAAAACATTATTAAGATTACCCTCCCAGACTATTATATTGATTCAACCACTGGTACATAATGAGTTGACAATGATGTTAGTGCTGCAATCTGGAAAATTGCACCTTTATGTATGCTGATAGTTCAAAAGCCGTTTGTTCATTGTGAATGGACGTTTACCTATTTGCTGCATAAATTTTAAAGATTTTATAAATCTTTTAGGAATGCATATAGAGTGTACTTCGGCAGCTTTCTCTTAGGAGCATTGTACATGTACTTTAGCCTCATCATGTAGCAATACGTTTTTATATAACATAAATGTTATGTTTTGATACTTTGATTACATTTAAAATGGATCGACTTTGATATTCTATTTCAATTTAAACATATACGTCTCTTTTTTGAGTGTATATTTCGATATATTTATTGATTATACGCAAAGGAGGACGGGTTTTAAACTTCTACTCTATTTACTAAGTTATGCGAAGATGAACAATCAATATTAAATGTGAAAGTGACCACGTTATCCTATTGTTGATAATGCTAGACTTTAAAAAAACTTACACGTCCAATAGACATACTTTTTTATAAATTATTTTTGGATATTATTGGGTGAAATAAAAGAGGTGATTTGGGAAGCAGTCTGATGGTTTCTTTTTATCGAGACCAACTTAAGAATACAACGAATTGAAGATGCGCATACATTCCTGTAAAACATCTCGAAAAATGCTGCAGTATGGCAGTTAATACGAAAATGTATGAATAAATTTATTATCATTATTATTGTTGTTGTTACCATTATTATTTTCCTGATTTCTCCTCCTTTCCTGCTTGTATAGATGTAAAAAAAAAATAGTCATAAAGGACCTTGTCAATTTTTAGCTTATTAGTTTTTATCCTTTTTACTGTTCAAGGGAAGGAATAACTTGTTAACTACCTGGCAACGTTCACGAAAGACGCGTTCATTACTTCAATCAGGTCAAAAGGAAATAGTTTTAATAAATATAATATTTTAATTAATAGTGTCGATAAAAGTTTTATTTCTGCTTATATAAAGAACACGTATAAACTGCGTATTTTTTATCATTGCAACATCCCGGCCATATAAATGCAAAAATGCTAAAAAATAAAATAGATATAATTCTTTTATATATTCTTGCAGATATAATGTCATCGAAATAAACTTGGCTGCAAAATAATTTACTTGTAGAAAAATATTGGAAGTCCAAAACAGAAAGATGTCAAGTTCATGTTTTTCTGTCCTTGTGAATTATGGTAAATTGCTGTGTATGCCTTTAGAAGTGTATGTCCACGTTTTTCATGTATTAAATGCTTGTTTTTTTATTCAGCTCTATTTGTCCGTAGCACTGAGTAATTATTAAAGTCTTATGCCTTGTGAAGTGTAAAAAGTAGATTTAATATTCGCGGTTTGTCCAGTCCGAAAATGTTTTTATTATTATTTTACGTGCGGTAGAGAAATGTTACTTGACTGGCGGCAGCACGACGCATGCGCATCCTACTACCGGGGACGGCATGTCCTCTCCACGTGACCAGATCCCTGTCATGGTGTCAAAACACTCCACGGAAGACAAGGCCGAGCCTTCCAAGGTACTGATGCCACCCATCACGTATAGGCAGGAACCTGTAAAATAGGGGGAAATTAAAAATAGTAATGAAAACGGGGTCTTTTTATGAAAATATCGACACTTATGCCCTACCCACTGACGTACTGACATTGCCACCTTTGTTTGCCGTTGCAATTTTATGACATAAAAAGAATGCATTGGAATGATAAATTAGTTAATAAATCTTGTGACAAAATAAGGCGTGCCATACATCAGAACCGCTTAAGCTAAATGTAATTAAGCGAGAAACCCCTCGTAAATGGGTCGATCCTCTTAGATTGGTCTAGTTATGGGAATGGGGCCTGAAGGACACTCACCCAGAGCTGCGCTGCCAGCATTGTGCCTTGGTGAAGTCATCTCCGTCCTGGCTGTCCATTGGTCCCTCTTCTCGTGGTACTCCAGTATGGACCCCACGCTGCTGTATGTGCAGTCGCCATTAGCGTACGACGACACAGCGCCGCCGCTCAGGTAAAGTTTCCCGCCACATTCTGACAGGTTGGCATGGCAACGTGGCTCGGGTATTGGGTTTCGGCTGGACCATCTGAAGTCAAAAGCGTATTAACAATAACAGTGGAACTGTCTCTATGTTATAGTTAAAAGTAACAAGTGTATGATAAATTCTGAATAGCTTAAAAATTATTTGGATAATGTGCATGCACTTCCGAGATATGGGAAGTTGTGTCAAATTGTGGAAACATTTAGGCATGAGAGATATTCACTTTAAATGGTCTTGATTGTGAACTAAACTTAATCCAAAGAGGAGAACCCTTGAAATTGAAAAGAAAATGACATAAATATAGGAAGAAGCTGCTAGCCCTCCACCCTCACTCCCACCCCCACCCCCATTGCGGTCAGAGAATATCTTTACGTCACCTGTTCGTGTGCGGATCATAGCACTCCACCAGGTTCAAGATGGGTTCCCCGGATGTGCTGGTCCCACTGTCGGCATAGCCACCAACGATGTAAAGAAGCCCAGAGTGTGCGCACGCAGCAATGCCGATCCTTCCGGTGCTCAGTGGGGCGATGTACGACCACTGGTTGGTCACGTGGTTATATACTTCAACTGAGGCAAGGACTCTGAAACACGAAATAAATGAAGCTGTTGAAAGTATAAAAGTTACCACCACAGACAAGCAGTTACGTTACGACCGGTATAAGTGTTCCCTGCGGGCCATGCCTCAGAACGTCTTTATGGCTTATACCAAAATTTACCCGGGAACTGTACCTGACATCTTCCACGAATCAAAAATAATGATAACATAAAAGACGCTTGTTGCACTTGTCAATTACAACACCACCAGTCTTAATTAACACAGATTACTTCAAAGTTACCAATGATATTGAGAAGTTCAGTAAGGCTACATGCACTCACATGTTGTTTAAACCCTCGCCGCCCACGGCGTAAACGAGGCCGGACACTACTGCCACCTTGTGGTGCATTCGGTTTTCATTCATGGACGTCACCTGGCTCCATTTGCGAGTCCTGGCGTTCACTTTGAACACAGTGGATTTGGGGACATAAATGCCGTGGCGACCATCTCGAGGATTGCAACCACCTAGGATGAGACAGAAACTTTTAAAAAGAGGAATACTTTGTGGAAAAATAAGCATCATAATACATCATACCGTTATGTTTTGCATGATTGCATGTATGCAACATGGAGATAGATGAATTTTTTTTTTTGTTTTGCCAAAAGATGCTGCACGTTTTTAATTTTTTACTCTGAAAACCAAACTATTCCAGATGATTTATCTGAATTTCTACACGCAAAATAAAATGACCCCCCCCCCCCCTGACATAGACATAGAGGCATTTCAAATAAAATATGTCTGCTTACCTACGATGTAGATGACTCCGTTCACAATGGCGACGGCGTGGTTTGTTCGTGGCTCTGGGAGGGCGGCCCACAGCTTCCAGGTGTTCAGTAAGGGGTTGTAACGCAGAATACTCGTACCTTGAAAAAATCGCGTAAAACCTTTAGTATTATGTGTACTGTAATGAGAATTATCTGTGTCCTCATCAAATTTAAACAGACATTCGTATTGTTGTTTAAGATATTTGGTTGGTGTCTAGAATAATTTTATCTAAAAGAGACCTGTTTATCATCATAAGATGTGCATATTATGACGCTTACTTGGCGCGATCCCATCCTCGTCTCCAGGCATGCTAGCAGTTGAAAAGCCTCCTATGGCTAATATAGTGAAGGTCGACTGACAGGCTGTCTCTGACGAGATTGCTCTGGACGGCAGGAAACGAGGGTCAGTGGACTCAGGGACTTGTGGTGGAAGGTCCACCATGCAGGTCCTTGGAGTGTGAGTGGGCAGTGGGAAGGTGGACTCTCTGCCAAGGTTGACGCAGGTGCGATACCTTGAAAATACCAAGAACATTTTTTTCTAAGAAAATAACGGCTATTTTAGTATTTTACGCGTGTGAAAAATGCATTAGCGTTGACAATAGTTTCGACCGACAGTCATATTGAATTTTTGAGAATTTCATTTCTTTTTTTATAATCTCATAAATTCCTGTATTGACTGATATTGTATTCATGTCCGTACTGTGCTTAAAATAATACGCACTATTTTTAATCATAAAATATATTACATTTTTACATGAAAAATGCACCCAGCCACAATACCTAAATAGGAATTCACACCTTCGTTTTAACATCAACTCACCAGTTTGCCGCCAGAATTAAACTCTGACATCCATCGCTGGTCATGATTTGGCCACCCTCTTCCACGCACGTGACAAGGTCTTTTGATGTCATCAACATGAACCTGACGCAGCTCATGAGTTGTGCGGCGTAGCGCATGCGGTTTTCTTTGTCGTAGGTCAACCAGCGCATGGCGGCCCGGAAGACGTCCAGCTCAGTCAGCACCCTTAAATCGTCGTCCTGCAGCATGCGGTGAAGCTTCTCCACGTCCAGAGTTGGAAAACCGGACGATGGGTAAATTTCCGGGAAGTGGGACAACACCACCTTGTAGGCTTTTTCATAGAAAACTTTCAGCTTGTTTCGGTCTGCGGTCTCCATGACGGCTATGGCTTTATCGGGCGGGAAGGAGCTGAAAAGATCCTGGCAGACGCTGAGAAGGGGCAAAATCTGCAGTTTTCGAGTAGCGACGTACATCTCACCGACATTATCGTAATTGATTCGAATCTCGGCCGTGTATATGAACTCCAGTATCTTCTGAAAGGCGGACGCGGTGATGTCTTCTAGTCTGATTTTCAGCGGGATGGTGTGCCTGCGGTTTTTCAGCAAAACTTCGGCGAAGTAATCGCTGTGGCAGGCAAGCGCGATGCAGTGGGCGCTGAAAGTGTAGTTTCCGACTGTGATGATGACGTCACAGAGCTGATCGTGCGTGTAGAGCGTTTTGAGGTACTGGCCCATCAGTGCGAAATGCACCATCCGCTCAGTGGCGGTGGGGTTTTCCGTGGCTCTGACTTTGTCCATGGCACCCTCTAAGGAGAAATTCCGCTTGACCTTGATCGGTTTGTCAGTAATTTCGCCCGGCATAGTTGGGCGTAATCTGATTTCACCTGGAAAAATATTGAAAAGCAAACAAAAATTTAAAAGATACCCTTAAAATGACTGATTCTTAAAGACCGTCATTTAATGTTCAGATCAATGCGTAGGCCTATTGCAGATTTTCAGATTATTATCAATATCACATTTTAAATATTGCACGAAGCAAAGTAAGGCACACGACGCGATTTAACCATTCAGATTTTTTTAAAATGATTTGTTTTCTGCATCATGTTTAGTTTGATTCAGTTTCGTTTACGGATGAGCTCACCTTGGTTTGTTGCCTGATGTTCGTAGTTTGCAGAGCTTGGCAATCTGATAATGAAATAGAATTGCAAAACATAACAGGAACAACTGAATATAGAAATATTCTAAATATAACCTTCTACTCACACCTAATAAAAAAAATATTGAATTCCAAATGATTGGCTTGAAATTTTTATCAAATATTGGCTGGAATTGGAGTAAATAAATTTGTATATTTTTTCGCATGTTTGCACGAAACACAACAGCAAAATTTTCTTAAGCACTGCATTCTCATATTGTATAAAAAATCAGAAAATATCATAATCTGCAGGCCGCTTGATGTTATTTCAGCGATTTGATTTTATAGTAAATTTCCACTTTTCATTTCATGTTAAAAAAGAAAATCAGACAGATAATTCTTATACAACGACTAAAGTGGTGTTCATTCTCATACAGAGATATTGAACTCCCCTATACATGCCATCTAGCCGCTTTCTGCACCACACTCAGGGCTCCTGTTATGAACCTTTGAAAGACGCGTTTACTTATGTCAAATACAAATCATACCGTTACAAAGACGGGCAGACAGAAAGTAACCCTAAACTCACTAAAAAATAAAGGGCATAAAGTAATGATAAAGGATTAGATACAACAACAATAATAATAATCAATAATAAAATACGACATAAATCAAGAAGATATATTGCCAATATTTACCTCACAGATCTCGCATCGCTGACATGGCTGGGCATTTCAGCATTTTGCCGAAGGATAGACGCTGAAGTTCGTTCAGAAAGTGGTCGGCGGTAGATAGGCGTGCGAGCGACTGTTTCTCCAGACACAGTTCGAACCACGGCGTTTCTTTCTTCTCCTGTCCTAAAATTTACTGTATCCGATCTCCGATTCCTTAATACACTTGGGCTAGTAGTTTGCGACATCTTGTGGTTGTATTCGCCCGGACTCTTCTCATTGTTTGCTCCGTGCTGCATGGTCTTAGTTATTGTAGCAGAAGGCAAAACTCAAAGAGAACGCTTTACGGTGAGAGCCATGATGCTCTCAGACATCTTTCTGTTTTGAACAAAAAACAAAAAATGGTATCCCTGACAATATATTTGTTTATTTTTTGTTATTTTCTGACATCATAACAACCAACGTCAATGACGTCTACTGAAAGCGTCACGAGCTGTTACTTCACGTCACGTGTAGGTCATATCAACAGTTTACGTTTACAACGTCATTTGAGTAAAATCGTGGCGATTGTGATTGTTGCGCTGCGCAACGCATTTCAACAAGGAGAGTGAGTGGCAATGGAGCGCATTTCATTATTGTATTAGTTGAGACTTTTCAATCCCGAATCGAGCCGTCGATGAGAAACGTTAATGTAGTAATGATAATTCTGTTGTCATTTTCGGTTTACTGCACAACTTAAAACAGAAAATAAGTTTCTTTCTTTTTTATCTTTTCGAGTTGTTTTTACGGTCTGTCGTTTTGCCTTTGCTCCAAATCACTGGGGTCAGCAAAACGTTGAATAAATATTAAGAGTTATGAAGAAAAGAAAAAAAGGAAAAGTAAAATAAATAAAAACAAATCAAAACAAATCAAAAGCAAAATATTGCATTTATATTACTGGATACGAAATATGTCACCATCATAACTATAGTTGTATAGGACATGATACGGAAGCAATTGTTGTATATAATGCATATAATCAATTGTAACAATCCGCTTTATTTCGTCTCTACAATTCAATGTTAGGTTCCGAACATACAGTAAATCAGAACAAGATAAACACGGGGTTTCTATTGATTACCAATAAAAACATCGTAACCCAATAAACAGTCTGTAGATTAATTAGGTTCGTTAAGTCATAATTGGGAAGAGATTAACCTGAAATAAGCAACGCTTTTATTCTAAACTCCTTGGTTACAAGACCATCATTGGTGGGCAGATTGATTAAGCTGCTAAAATATTCATTGTTGCAACTTCACCTGTGCGTCTATCGTTACTCATGTATATATCGCTTTGTGCGTTCCCTTTTACAATCCATTTTAGTACATATTCTGATGGAGCATTTTCCATCTCTGCGAAAACTGTACGGATATTTTAACTCGCGGTTATAAACTCTTCACTGCGGTCAAAGATCAAATTTACATAACGCGGAAATTATACCTGTTGTTCGGGCGTTTGAAAGATTATATTGCCCACTTAACTCGGTCTCAAATTAACCGTGCGTTGCCTTTGCCAGAGACGTGGTAACGCATACAGTGGAGACGGGAATGTTTCACCAACCCCCTCCTGGTCGCATTGAAACATGATTACCTGTAGTGCGTCAATGAATTAACACACACAAAGGCGCTTAAGCTGTCGACACACATTGGCAAAAGACCGTCTTTGTTGAACGTAACTGAACCGTCCATAGAAAACATGTACACAGGGTCGCTCCGAGAACGTGTATCAACAAAAACGCCGGGACCTAGGCAAACAATTATTAAACGGGCCGGTGACGAAACACAAACATACCGCTACAATGAGGCAGAAATCACAATAGATTTCTCCAACAAGAAGGCAGATCGAGTTGCGGACAAGCTCAGCGCAGATCTGGTCCCCGTGGAGAACGGGGCTAGCCTGGCCCTCCGGAACGCTCGCTGCGTCAACCGTGGCGTCCAGCGTCGCATGATGACCCGCGTGAAGGGCATGATGAAGGCACTGGAGTACAACACAAATAAGGTGAGAAATGAAGACATAGTTGCTGGGTATTTTGTTTACTTGAGTTAACTGGAGAAGCAGTGCGATGTCATGACAGCGATCTGTTACAGCCGTCACATGACATTATACTGGTGGCGTATTTTCAATCCCGAGTTTCATAAATCCCGCTGTTGAATTTTTGCACTTATTGTCGTTCAAAATGTCGTTTTCCCAAACGACATTTGTTAAGAAATGTTGCATTATTGGGCGAGTAAAGATCATGCTATTCGTATAAATAAATTTGTTGCGAAATTGTTGTCATAGGATCAGTATGTGTCTAAAGATATACCGGGTACCTGAAGCCCAGAAGCGCGTGCGTAATAACAAATTAATGTAGTTTAAAGTGGACAAAGGAGAGAAAAAAGCCCGTTACCTTTTAACTGAATTACTCAGAGTTCATGGCCATTTAAATCACAGTCATGTATTTGTTCCATTCTCAAAGACCTTCAAAGGCCTTCAAAGAAAAGGTCATATAGCATTGTTTTAGGGGGTTCAGCAAATGGAAATTACACAAATTTGAATACATAGGGTTTGTAAAAGGGCGATGAAAGTTTTATGGACCAAAGAATTAGTTTGGAATATGTTTCAACGCTAACTGTGTTATAGTAAATCATTGTGTAGGAAAACGTTTTTTATTAGAAAAAAAAACTGTTGAAACGTGTCACTGGATCAAGTTCTGATTTACGTTATATGATATCAGTATTATTACTACATTTAGTATATCATTTGCTTTAAAATATTTCTTTCATTGTAAATATATCTCATAGGTCTACATAATTTGCCTCCGACATTTATTTACCTATTTTCACAACGTCTCGTTTAAGATTTCGACGAATTTATAGGGGCATATCTGAAGTGAGTGTTAAGAAAGCTTGTTAATGCAACTGAGAGCATTTTTGCGAATTTACAAAATAAGGATGTTAGATTGTTTGCACAGACTGCTGTCGCCACATATTATCAAGAAGGAGGAGCAATAAAATATGAGAGTCATATAACTCAGCTGAAGAATCCATAAATTCGGGTACAACCTCTTCACTATCTTCAACAATCCAGCTACAAAATTTATTATCTGTACTAAAACTGTACCCTCTACCAGGACCACAGATTGATTTTTCACTATATATTCACAGGTATGTCTCTGGTTAAATGATGGATCTTTTCTGCAGTGAAAAAGTGCACATAATAAAATCTGCGGCCCTGGTTGAAGGTAGTAAATCTGTACAAAAAAACATGCATACGTACACCTAGCAAAAGAAAGTACAGTAAACTGTAGTTACGGACAGTACGGATAGTAACGTGTAGCATACTGAACAGCAAAATTCACTGTTTATATATAACCCATAATGCTGATAACTTTTTTAAAGTAATACGTAGGACATTTACATTTTTACTTGGTGTATGTGTATGTGTGTGTTGAAATACGATCCCAAAGAAGGGTTCAGTGCCGATACATATTGGGTTTGTGTTTTTGTAACCAGACTCCGTCATTTATGCGGCAACACTGCCCAAATTATGCACGGTTAACTGCAAGGAATTTATCGGAATGTTGCATGTTGTTTTTGTTATTTTTGTAGCGTCCAACTCTGCAAAATCTGCTCGGGTTACATAACATATATGTTCAAATGTTCAACTTTCAAAAAAAGGAAGAAAACCCAATGTTTTTACGCGATTGTATGCCCTGTTCGAATAGAAATAAATTTTGCAACGCTGCAGCAAAATAACTACTTAAAAATGAAGAATTTTCAGCATTAGAATTTCATCTTAAACAAAAACAAAAGAATAAGGCAAATCTTATCGTTTTGAATAAGCGCTTTATACCTATTAAAAAACAAACGACGACATCCAAAGAAAAAACATCCAATTTTTGACTCTTTTTTATATCATTTCAGATTGAGAGCGAACAGAAGGATCTTTTGGAAGACTTCCTCACTAAGTACCCTCAGATGGAGAAGCGAGTGGCGTTCATGTTCCGTGACAAGTCCGGGACGATGCGACGACTTGGTCTCCCTCGGGGTCTCACTCGGGACAAACTTGTCTACGTTCGGAATCTCGGCACGAAAGATTCCCCCGAAAAAGAACCGGTTCCCCTCGAATACGAGCTTGTATATACTAAGACAAAAAAGGACAAGGTACGAGAAGCGCAAGGAAGTTTGGATAAGGAAATTAAACCATTCTTGCCCGCTGTGAAAAATGGAAACAATCAAATGTTTACTGGGAACGGTGCTTTACAAGGCGGTAGTGCCTCCCATCCTGTTAAGACTACAAAGAAGTCTCGGAAAAAACAAACATCGCCAGACCTGACTTTAGTTTCGAAATCCCTTCCGTCCATCCCCGAAGAGAAAGGAGCCCAGGGGAAAGAAGACTCATGTAAAAACACTTCACAGTCTGCTGATGACAGTGAAGTTAACACCAGGGAGCTACAAATGAAACGCGTTGTGCCAGCTTTTAAAGTGAGCAACTTTGTCTTGACGGATTTCGGATTCCACCCACCACGAACGGATCCTTACATCCACCCCAATTTTAAAAGGAAAGAAGACGTTGAACGAGAAATCGAGCACGCGGCCCAACGTCATATATACGCCAGTCAAATACCTAGTCAAAGCTATCGTGGCGGCAAAACGGAACGGAACGTTAACAGTCTACGCAAAACCATCACCGGCAGAGTAGCGACCCTGGATCCCGCTTTGGGATCGGGTTTAGCGGGTAATGGTCAAAATTCAAACCCGGTGAAACTGACTGTCCCGAACAACCAATACGTGATGAAGAAAACGAAACCGAAACCACTCCCGCCCATAGAAAGTAAGCGACACGGCGCCGTGATGTTTCAGTTAGGCTCCAGTAAGGCTGCACATATGGAGGGGTTTAAACTGCTGTGATTTGCGTGCCACGGCTCATTCCTGGGTCTTACATGGTCATACATGTATTTCTACGCCAGCAAGGATTAAATAGTAATAATTCTCTCCTAGGATAGTGTCAGACCTTATAATTGCATTTGTTTGCGTGATAGTTGATGTCGGTTAAAACGAAGACTTAATATGTAATTTTGAAAATGATTTTAGCCGTCGCCTCCAGCTCTAACGTTAATTCACATTAATTGTAGTGCAATGGTATATATTAGTGACAACTTGTGAATACACAAACTTAGTTGCCATATGATAATTATGACACGATGCACTCTAAGTACGCCAATTGTTATTGCACTCGAGCTATTCATTTATTCAATTTCTTTTTTATTTTACTTATATCGTAATTTGATCATGGTGCGTTGTCCTCTTATCTTATGGAATTAGTTAGGCATTTATAGCTGCTGCTCTTTAAAAGTAACGCTGGTTTATGGCATAAAGCTATATGTGAAAGTTTAAAGTGAGGTTTATTTAACACAAACCTTGACAAATTGAGAGGATTTGCCATGAACATCTATGCGGTCAAATGAACCTAGTGACTGAAATTAGTGTTTTGAAATCCTTGTTGCTATGGTAATATTTGGATAATCTTATGCACGGGCCCACGTGGAAACCTCTTGCCAATAAAACATTATTGATTTGCATTTGTTACTCGAAGTTGCGTGAATAATGTGGTTCTCTCTCTCCCCCCTCTCTCTCTCCCTCTCTATCTCTCTCTCACACACACACACACACACACACACATTTTCCTTGTAAAATTCATCTCTTTGTTTGTACCGCAGTACAGGAGAGATCCCAAGTAAATTTTGACTTGGCTTGTTTTGTACTTTCGCCCGGCTTATTTTTATACACAGGTGCTGGCCTTCATAAAGCGTTCGAAAAATATTTTGGGGTATAAAATAGTTCAGTGTGTTTTCATCACCTTAGAACACTTTGCGCATAGCAACAGGAGGTCATATCCAAAGAAAAAACCTAACAAATAATTTAAATGTCGAGAAAAAAAGTCAACTAAATATTTGCGCTGTCTGAAAAACGCCATTAGACTCTTTTGCGTTCGGCGTTTTATTGTCCGCCAATTGTCAAGAAGGTGCGAGCAAACACTCATGTTGTTGTTAGCCTGTTTGTGTGGTAAAGATTCCTTCTTTTCCTGTTGAGATAACTCTATGTAAACAAACCCCGCGATGTATCGATTGCAATAGAGTAAACATGTTGAGCAGATGTCATAAATGTATCACTTTGTACGGAAATGTATGGTCTTCACCTTACCCCCTACCAGGGCCACAGATTGATTTTTCACTAGATATTCCCAGATATGTCTCTGGTAAAATTACAGTTATTCCCTGTACTGTGAGCATCAGAGAATGTGTCCACATAATAAAACTGCGGCCCTGATATTGCGTATCTTCACCTCAGCTTAGGGCTCAGGAATTTTTAAAAATTCATAGTCAGCAAAATGAGTAAAATGTTCAGTCATTTTCCATGTCAACGACAGTAGAAAAGAATAATAAAACATGGGAATCGGTTTTACATTAAATAAATAAATAAATAAATAAATAAGTTGATTTGATTTATTCTCTTCTTCCAAGATAGTTTTTTTAAATCTTCATGCTTATAATGGCTGACTGTCTGAATTTATTTTCCTTATTGAAAAAGTAAAAGAAAGAAAGAAAAAAAGAAACAGGACTTAAGGGAAAATGTGACCCCTAGTAACATGTCATGGTTATTTGTTGTTTCCAGGCGAGCAGCATCTTCAGTATGTACGTTCTCCAAATCTGCCCTATTTTAGAGGGAGGGAGGGCACATATCAGCACATCTTTTTGCATAATTTAGAGAGTACAATATATGTATCAAGGCTTATTAAAATAATTTTTTAACACAAGTCAATTGGCACAACCACTTTAAAGTGTATAACTGCATATCCACCTAACTGAACGAATAAATTAATAGAGAAGTGAATCTGTTGAATAATTGTGTTTTATAATTAGCAACGTTGTCAAATAAATGGAGTCAAATTTAATCATAAATTGTGTTTGTTGAGACGAAGCGCATTATCGCAATATCAAGAAATGTTATTGTAAGGGCGTCAAAGTGCTTGTGTACAAGCAAAGTGTCACCTGCGTGTGCTCCTTGACTGTGTAGTGGCGGATTTGGGGGGGGGGGGGCGTTTAGGGGGGTTTAATAAGCTTCGATTTTTGAAAATAATCACATCCCCTCTTGAAATAAATATTTTGACTAGCTGAATCACAGTTCTTAACCATTCGCCCTCTAAAATACCAACATTTTTCGGGGCCCGCTGACCACACGCTAATGGGGTGGGGCTCGACTTCGCATCCGCCCCCCCCCCCCCTTTGAAAAAATCCTGGATCCGCCCCTGTTGTGCATGTTTGGTCGAGCGTATTTATAACTAAACATTTGATTAATTTATTTAACCATTCGTTTATTTTGTGTGTTCGTGAGGATGTAAGCGCACGCGTGAGTGTATGTAAAATGGGGACGGGGGGGGGGGGGGGCGCATGTGCGTCCGATAGACGTAATAGTGTTGATATGCGTGGTATGCGAGTGTGAGATTCGTGTGATTGGCACAGGAACCTAATGCTGTGACAGTGTCTCTCTTTACAGGATCTTCTAACACACGGGCAACAGTGCCACACGTGGCAGGTCAAATGGCAGGTCAAATGATAAGCCACCTTGCAGTCAGGTCAGGCATGTGTGGACATTCTCACATCCGAAGACGCTGAGATGCTTTTTGGAGCACGCGTACTCATTAAGCTCCTTAACCTCCACAAGCACGAACTGAGTGGGGGTTTCTAAGAAGAGTTCGACTACTTGGGACATAGGGATCAACCTGTGTCAAACCTTGGACTAATAGACAAGTGACCTGGAGCTAGGTTTTTCTCACCCTTAATATATGGAGCATGGTTTCATCAGCGGTTGAATTTTTATTAATGTCGAAAAAGTGTTTAACTGACTTATTAATAATGTGTCTAAATAGTACACGTTTCTGTGGAATTACTGAGGTTATTAAAATACAAGGAAACGTTTTGCATGCACCTTTCGAACGACCCACTCATGATCATTTACTGTAACATTGGGGAGACAGGAGTCAGTTGACCCCTCGTCAATTCATGATATGTAAAATTTGATTACATGCTCTTGCAACTTGACCAAACGCCACAATGCCAAGAAAACACCGATCGCTAAAAAGATTTAGTAGTGGGTCCAAATGCACCTTTTTTTGCATCTGAAATTAACTCTGTTGAAGAGATTTTAAATTCTATTTTCATAGCTTCATGACAGTATAAAGGATGCCTACAAGGCATATTTGAGGACCACGTGGAAGTGTACACTTAACATGTTTTATCCTCTTGAAATCAAGTTTATTATTATTAACTAAAATGGTAAAAATTACCCAGGAATGCCTACACGTAGTTCATTCTAGTTACAAAAAATTGCTACAATCCTTTGAAACAAAAGTGCACTAAGGGTTAGTTGGACCACTTGTTTCGTGGCAAATGGATGCTGCATGTTTCATAATATTTTGGGCTCTTGTTATGTTTTTTCAGCATAAATTCAAGGAAATGTATAGAAACATCAATAGGCCTACATCTGCCTCATATGGACTACAAATTAAGCTTAAATTTCAAAAATCAATTTAACGTAATAAAATGCTTAAAATACATTTCATAGGGTTTACATGTAGGCCTATTGCTTATTGTAGAAGTATAGGGTGTCAACTTAACCCCCCCCCCCCTCCCTCCACGGGGCAGGTTGTAAAACCGGTTTTGCTGCTCGAATTTATTCCCAGTGGGCTCTATAGGGCCAAAAGTGTTTAGCTGTAAGTACTTCCGATCTCCCCTTTGGAATGCAGATGGTAAAAATGCTTCGAAGCAAGGCAAACAAATCTAATAGCAAATTCAGAAACAAACAAAGTTTATTTCTCTTGCATTCTACACTGAATCCTCAAAATCGATGTGAGATGAAGATTGAAATGCAGCTTAGCCAAAAATGCTGCTGATGTCGTATTGAGTAGAACAGTCCCTGTTCCACAAATTCATCCGACCAAAATGAAGGCGTGGCTTGAACAGTTCGCAACACAGACGGTCCGGTAGAAGGTAGGCGGCAGTTTCGGGGCCACAACCCTGTGGATCAAAGGTTAAGACTACCCTCACCCCTGGCGGTGCAATGTGAGCGTTTAACTTCTGGCACATGAGTTGCCCAATGGTAGTGTTGACTAAACGGCCGTAGAGTAGTGACTCCGTCTCGTCGCTGTAAACCTGGTCTCCGAGAAGCAATCGCGACATACGTAAACAGTCTCTGGGGCAGTTACGGTACACCTTGAGGCAGTCGCGCTTGACTGGGACAGGCGTCGTGGGCGAAATGGCCAAGGCAGGTATATCCCGTTTCATCGTGGAATCAAAATTCGGAAATCTCTCTTTGACTTTGAATACGATTTCCTTGCCGTTTTCACTGCCCCACAGCTGCTTTTCGCCGTACATAAGCGTTGCCACGTCTTGTAGGTGAGCGCCAAGGGCGGTGGTTCTACCCTCGGCACGGAGACGGCAGTGGCAGCTGTGTCACAAAATGAGACAAATCAGTGCATTTAATTCGACAGGTATGACCAAAAGCCAGAATAAATCGTTATTCATAATATTAGATCGCAGCAAAAAGTAGGGTTAAACATTGGCACTGAAGGCAAAAGTGAAACCGATTTACGACAAGAAACATATTGAAATACAGTAGGCCTACAATAACTCTCTCTGTTTCTTTCGGTTATTTAAATTTAAAATATAACCTAAAGGTAATAAATTCGTTACTTACATTTCACTTATATTTTCTGGTTTCTCTGAAATAAAAAAGAAAAAAATTGATAAGTTTTCATTTGATTATCCATTTCTTTAATGTGACTGATGACTCATTTCTGTTTTCTCAGCGTTGTTGTTACGTATTGAGCAGGTGCCAATAGTTTGGCAATTCTTTTCACTCAAAGGGC